CCCTAAACCCCTAAACTCCTCAAGGCCCTAGACTCCGTAAGGCGAGCCGCAGATCAGGAAGCCCAGTCCACAGCTGATTAGGTTCAGCACACGCCAGCCTTGGTGGCTCTCGGTTCCAGGAGTGGCTCTGGGCGATCACGCCCTGCTTTTCTGAAGGGGAAGGGGTGGGGGGGGGGGCTGTTCAGGTTAAGGGTCTAGGAGTTGGGGTTTCAAGTTTTTCGCTTCCGGGGCTTCGCACTGGGAAGTGGGAACCTGCTGACAGAGTAGATGAAGGCAACCAGGTCCAAGACCGACCAAGCCGACCCCATCAGCACCACCACCACTCGCCAACTCAACCACCATCAGCATGGCTGCTAGTACCATATGACACATCGGATCACCGGCACCACGACATACCATCATCACGGTTTTCCGGAATATCATCATCGTCAGAATCAGCATCATCACCATGATCATCTCTGTGGCCATCATCATCACCACCACGGTCATGGTCATGACCAGCATGCAAGCAACGACAGAGCATCGAAAAACCTGATCGCCATGCTTGGTCTCTCAAACAAGGAGCGGCGCTGGTGGATCCAAGAGGGTCGCCAAGTTGCGGAGTGCAACCAAGTCCTAGGTGAAGGGCTATGGGCTCTCCCGGTCTTCTTTGGGATTTTTTGAGGCTCTTTGCAGAACCAGAAGTCCAAATCCTGATCCTGAAGCCCTCCTCACAACCTTCATCCCCAAACTCCCTGTTTTGGCGACTTCTCTTAGAGATTTTGGGGTCTTAGGCTGGCAGCAAAGTTTTCTGAGGGGAAGGGTTGATGAAACCCGGCCTGGTTTTCCTGAGAAACACTTCGTCGCAGGCCTGCTTCGATTCGGATAATCAAAAACTATGCTTTTCCTATACCATACTATACTTTACTGTATCATATTATATTATACTACATTATATTATATTATCTTGCTGCAGCGCTGGGCTGGGACGGGAAGACTTTGCTTCGCAGGTACGGCACCCGACAGGTCCGCAAGAGCTCCAAGCACTGCAAGGTGCATGCTGCCTAAACGTGGCAACACTAAGAGCATGCTTTCGTGCTCCAGCGACCCCAGTAAACCCACACATTTTCAGAAAATGCCAGCATGCTGGGCGCCGCGCAAAGTGAAGCAAGACAGGTTCATGAAAGCATATGCCATTAGAAAGCACCTGGGCCGCCAATGCGAAAGTGGCTCAAAACCACCACCGCCACCACCAACAAAATCACCCGCATTAACCTCATCATGCCAGCTTCAGAAGTACCCTTTTGTGATTTTGGCCAGTAAGTTGTTGCATATCGCATTATTGCGTTTGCTGATCTAGCCGCTGCACGACTGACTTAAATACCTTCCTTCCAAGCTTCTTACCAGTACGTGACCCTGTGCAACAGAGACTCTTCTTCACGCGGCTCGTTACGCTCGGGGGAGGCGGGGAGGGCCACACAGGGCACATTTGGTTTTGACTCCTGGCGACATGCTCTGTTGATGTGCAGGGCTTCGTTGCGTAGTGAGACATTGCACTGGGAGCAGCGTGGGATTTCGCAAGCGCTGCAGATGCCGAGACGGAGAAACTGGTGGGCAGGGCCCTCGTGTTTCGGGCCTTGCAGACCGCAGAGCCCGTGCATACTGGGTACCTGCAGAGGCATCTCTGATTTGGGCAACTGAATCCACCTAGCCCACTCAAGATTCAAAGGAATCGCCGAAGACGCCTCGCGTACGCACAATGCGAATCTTTGGCGCGCTTACGAGGCTGAAACGTCGCGCATGCCTGGACCTGAAAAACTCGTCTCGGGAAGAATCCAGCTGTCGTCTTGTCCGAAGGATACCACCGAGCCAGTCATAAACACTCAAGAGTCAGCATAGAAAAACCGACACTGGGATGGTCCGCCTAGCTCTGGATTCTTTGCAGGAGCTCCCCTGCGAAGCGGCTAACTTGTGGCAGCTTCGGCATGACCCAGAAAGAGGATGGGCACTGTCTGCCCGAAGACGTTCTGGACTTCTGTTCTTTACGCTGAGCATCCGGGAGCCTTCCAGCACTCATCCTGGAGCCACTGCCAAACATGGTCGAAAGATCAGGGAAATGCTGCGTCATCCCGGCTGCGAGGTCTTGTCAAGTAGAAGCCGACTCTGAGGGCTAGCATCGAGCAGATGAAAACAGAGAACCACAGGCTACCCCCAATTCATAACCGTAAGGAGACATCGATATGGCGTAGGGTGTGATAGGGACAAACAACCTCATAGCAGTAGACGTTGCGAGGAGGAGTCTCGGTACCTGCATACACGTAGGCATGCAAGCACGCCTGATACATAAGCAGTTAATGGCAGTCATAGCTACTTGTCCCTCCCTGCTTGTGGCGTAAGACTTAGTATCGTCACACACAAAGCAACCATGTACATCTGAGAAATCCGAAGAAATCGCGAACGGCCATGGCTTGCGTGAAAACATACACATTCGCACAGATACATCCTTCCATGAGACAGATAGATAGATAGACAGCTAGCTAGACGGACAGACAGATAGACAAATGAATTGATAGATACATCTGTGGATGGATGAATGGATAGAAAGACAAATAGACTCGTTTGCTAAGTGTAAATACTTACACACACACATATATATATATATAAATTAGTGTATATATATATACACACAGCTTAACTCTCTCGATATGTAAACCCCTTTTGGTTGTCTGAGACCTCGCAATCGCAAACCAAACGCAATAGAAACGAACCTCATGATGGAAAAGAAGCACCAAGGACACTATCAAGAAAGATCATCAGTGTCACTATCAGAAAATGCACCACATGGTGCCTGCAGCGAAGAGCGTGTGAGCAGACTTACACTACAACTAACAAGAAGGCAGTGTCAAGACTTGGAAACAACTCGTAATGTCAACGGGCGATTGCACTGCCACACTACTGTATGTTACACTTTCCTCATCTGCAAACCAGGACCTCGCCTGCACAGAGACGCTGTGAGAAGCCTTCGGCTAGTAAGGACAAACAGGGCAGCTGCTGCGAGACTTACATGCTTTTAGGAGTTTAGGGAGGTTTTAGGCTCGTCTCAGCCAGAAGCTGCCACGATCTACATGAAGATGACAAGGCAGGTGATGTTGTCCATGGAGCCTCGGTCTTTGCCGTACACTCAACAATGTGCTGTGCGGCGCCGGCGCCAGTCACTTGTATGGTTGTTGGGTTGTTGGTGCTATAGGGTTTGTAGATTTCAGGGTTTAAGGTTTGTAGGGGATGGCGTACTCTAAGGTTCAGATAAGGCTTCAGGAATGCGTACAGGCTCAGCAATAAAGGTACAAGTAGTTCTACGTCGGCAACAGGAACACGTATTGAACAGCAGCTAGCCGTCCGTTCCAGTGCTGATACTTACAGCAGGCACCGGAAGAAAGCATGCACAGCGTCATAACAGTACTCGCAACCAGCAAACCTAATGTACTTAACATGTTTCACCAAATGCCCTCAATATGCCCTTATGCTTGCACCCTCCCTCTGCCAGGTTGCCTGTTCGCTGTGCTTCTTGCACGAGCCTCACAAGTTGATGCCGGAGACATGCAGGCCAGGGCTTCGAGCTTGGGATAGAGGATTAAGAGATGTAGGGCTTTCATGATAGACTTCGGAGCCCTAAACCCTAAACCGTCGATCAAGAGTCTCGGTGGCTCAAACTCTGCCACAAGGGAGCAAAGACTCTCGATGTGTCCTGCTGCGCTAGTGGCAACCATGGCGGTAGCCAGAAAGCCATTTAAGGTTTAGGGTACAGGGGGAGAGGCCATCAATTAGATTCCCTTCAGATACAGATGCCGACCATGGATCTCCCTCTCCTCCGAAGACACGACAAATGCTTGAGAACAGGCGGGCCTGTGCGCAACATGGTCTAATCCATTCCGACCTCAGTATCCAGCGTTGACAGTATCGAAACGTAAATGCTCGGGGTTTAGGTTCAGGGCTTCCCAGGTTCATGTCCTCCAGACATTTATGGCGCCTGGGATGCCAAGTCGGCAAGGTCCTGCCTCTGTTGTCCGCGGGTTCTGGAGTCTAGTGGCGAGGCGCGCAAGCATCATCACTGAACCCTATACCCTAAACCCTAAACCCATCATTGGCCAAGCTGCTGCAGGACACGACAACTTTGGCCACCTCCTCGCAGGAGTGGCGAGAGAGTTCTCCGCCGCAATATGAATTATCCCCCCCTTAAAGCCCTTCTACACTTCTAGAGGCTTACCTAGGAATCATCACTTAACAGCCTAATTGTTTGCTATTCTAGTTATTGAGGCCCGAAAGACCGGCGCCTTCTCCTCAGCAAAGTCCCACAAGCCGTCGCTTGCCAAGACCAGCGCCAGGTCGCGCTTGGCATCGTGGGCCCGGACGGAGGGCTTGCAGCTGAGGCCTGGACGCAGTAGACTTCGAAATAATACAGTACCTTAACCCCAAATAACCTACCTTGTTAAGGACATCTATAAAGAAATCATATTAAGGAACCCCAGAAAGGTAGGTTCTCCAGGGGGCAGGAAGAGTATAATATCGTAAATTCGGGGTGTAGGGCGGGTTTGCGCTTGTGGCCTTCTCCTACAGACCCTCATCCGCGGAACATACCTGAACCCAATCAACTCCTCACTACAAAACAGGCCTCAATGCCTGCTAAGGCTGCTAAGCCCCAAACCCCTAAATAAGCCTATGAGCCCCAAATAGATGCTCAACGCTGTACTATACTATACCACACTATCCCTAATCCCTAAACCCTAAACCCCTAGACCCCCCTAAACCCCAAACCCTACCAAGGCCGAGGTCAAGGTCTGCGTAGGACAAGACAGATCCTACAAAGCTCTACCATCCTACGAGAACTTCAGGGTTTTTTTTAGTTTAGGGTGTTTTTGTTGTAGAGTTTAAGGGCTTAGGCTTAGGGTTACGAGAAACCCAGAAAAGGTCACGGGAGCCCTAATGAAGCGAAGCCCCGACCGAGAACCCCAGCCACCTGAGCCGTGCATAAATTCTGAACCTGAACTTCGCACCACGGGTGTAGGGTTTTAGGGTTCAGGGTTTATTTCCGTCCCTAGAACTGCAGCCCTAAACCCTAAAGACCCTACGCCCCCCAAACACTCTAGGCTCCCTGTCAAGCAGGTGCCTGAGTTTTTCAGCAGGAGGTCTCCCAAAGCACGGCTCACCGCCAACTCACCTTCAGAGTCTCGGTCTTAAGGTGTGTGGATTGGATAAAGGGGATAGGCTCCGGCTGTGAGGGCTCAGGGTCTGATTGGGGGCTAAGGGTCCATGGCAACAGCTTTAGGCTTCAGGACCCCTTTTGGGTTTGGGGGGTTTGGGCCGCTGTACATCGCCTAAAGGCCCCTCTGCATAAGCTTCTCCACTTATACCCATACCCTAAGTCAACAGACGCTCCAAAACAAATGTACCGAATCAAAACATGTAATACACTTCGACGATCGTGACAATGCTGCGCGATTGCGTTGGATTGTGCTCATGTTGCCATCTGTCTTTGTTTGTACTGGTGTACACCTGTGCCCGTGTCTATGTTTATAAAGTCATTTCATCTTTTTCACAATGCATCGCCCTGTTTGTACATAGATGTGCATGCATACATATGCACTCGCATGTGTATAGTATAGTATGGGCGATTGCGTGTCATATTACAATACTGCGTCATACCAGTTTACGTCGCGAATTAATTAGTTAATTAGTTAACGACCGTAGCGTGACCTCGCATCTGTTGCATCATCTAAGACGCACTAGCATGATATAGGGTTCTTCTGTCCAAAGCCTTGTAAGTCTTTTCTAAACAGCTCCCTGTTCGTCGTTGCTTGGTGTTCTGAAACATCATGACGTACGCCCAGTGGTACAACATGACCCGTTATTAAAGGTTGTTAAGAGATGGTACCACTCGCCGCTCTGCTGGCTGCTGTGTCTGATGTGCTTGAAACTGGGCGACATGTACATATGAGTTCGCTCATATGGACATGTGTTACTTCTTCGTATGTGTATATATGTATACGATTCTCTGTCACTCGGTAGTCCACTGCCGTGTCCGATATACGTCACTGGGGCACACCTTCCAGTGCCACTGTTCAAGCATAAAAACACGCTGGGAGCTAAGTCCGATTGCATTCGCTTGCAATCACCATGCCAGCACGGTCTTATGCTCCCTACTCTGTTTGTCTTCCGGCTAGCATAAGTTGTTGTTACTACTGCAAGCAGTAACAGTAGTAGTAGTAGTAGTAGCAGCAGCAGCAGCAGCAAGAAGAAGAAGTTCGTAGTCACCCTTCGTAATGAAAACTTATCTGGCACCTGAGACACGGCCCATGGTTACGAAGCCGCCCTCCTCGCGGATGCGACGTGCCTGACGGAGGCTGCATGCAAATGCGTGCTTTCATGTCGAGCGTTCTTATATCTCCTTTGTCAGATGGTCTCGCGGTCTAACGTCTAACAAACAAACACACTCATCCCGTAAGCCTCTAGATTCTCTAGATCGCCCTGAACTGAACCGTTCCTTGCTCAAGGGTGGACCCCTTGACCCCTTAGTAGGTAAGTTTGCCCGGGGCTTCTCATGGACTCGCAAAATGTCTGAAGACTTTAGGCCAGAGGCCATGGGGCTAAGAGTTTCCCGGGCCATGATCGTGGTGATGCAAAGGAACATAACCACTAGAGATCGGGACTCTCTCCTCGGGCATTTAGTCACTGTGTAGAGAAACCCTGTTGCACAGTATACAGAACCTGGATGGGTGAGAGGACAGGCAGGAGAGTAGGTTGTCATCACCGACATCACGGACAAACAGTGCCATCATCATGCTGTTGCTACGCGACTCTATACATCCATGGGACCACTCAGAGTGCCTCTGCAGCATCGGTCGGCCGATGGTCAACAGACAGCCGCGTGGATCCTGGCAGCGGCCGTGTTGACTTCAGTCGCACTGCTCTTGCCACTGCAATGACCGGGACGGCAACATCATGCTAGCACCGGTCTCAAGAAATCCTCTTGCACCGGCAAAGTCTGAGTTTCCTCCCGATCCATCGACGGTAACGGCACGAGAGTCCCCAACGTTTGCGACCTCGGCTTCCAGGCTCAGCACTCTCAGGCTCAAGACTTTAAGGGTTGGGGCCTGTGGGTGAGCCTGATGAGGCCGGTTCAGGTTTAGTACTTAGGAGATAGTATGTCTGAGAAATCCTGGTCACGACGACGATGGCGATGGCACCCAAGGAAGAGCCTACAAGGACGACCTAGACAACAAAAGCAAGAACGGCAGGAAGCTCAACGAGCAACAACTGCAGCAATGTGGAGTAACCTGATTGCAACCATGAAGAGCGGCAGCAGCAGCAGCAGCAAAAGCCAGAGCGGGCAGCAACTGTTGTAACAACAACGATGACGGCTACGACGGCAGCAATCGCAGCAACAGCAAGAAGCAACACGAGTGCAGCGCTCAAGAAGTGCAAAGGAAAGGCTCGATATTTGCGCTCAGGGTAGCAATCGCGCACTTGTATTCACGCAGCCCGAAGACAAGAGCAGATCCCAAACTTCTCCTCCGCATCCCCCTACGTCCACAAGCCCTAAACCTCGTACATCTGAATTCAATGCGCGATCTGGACAGGGACGAACAGAAGAGCTTCGGACTCTTTTCTGCTTCCGGGCGGTCTGGATCCAGTTCGATCTTTACTAAAAATGTGCGCCTTGTGCGCGGCCTAGAACCTAAAGGATGTGGAAACTCCTACACGCTGTATCCTATCCGACTACATCATGGAGCAGGCGGAGCCGTCCTCAAGTTCGCAGACTTGTTGGGCCAACTCCTCTAGGGACTCCTCCAGGGCTGCGTCTGCCTGCACCCTTTCGTAGAAAACCAAGGTTGGGACAAAGAGCCCGGACAGAAGGACGCGAGCCGCCGAGCTCCAATCCTCCTTCTCCTGGACGCAGGTGTCATCGAAGAGGACCCAGTGCCGCTGGGACGGACACCAAAAGAGTGCTACATAGTGCATGCCGCTGTAGCACACGAGTCCGCGAAGGCCATAGAGCACTGATGTCTCAGCAGAGGTTTCGAAGATCTCCGTCATGTACAATCTGGCTTGTATCATGGACAGCACTTGGATCAGCTGTTCTCGTGTCGGACTCGAGCTTGGCCATGCCAGGGACAACAAGAAGGTCTGCGGCTGACGAGTCAAAAACCGCTCTGTGGCAAGGGTGCGCCTCGAGTTGCACTCGCTACAATTGCCCCCACGGAGTTGGCACAGCTTGTGCAGAACTTGCTGCAAACTGGACTTCCTAGTGACGGGCACAAGGTGGATCGACTGCCATAGCCCCATGGCTCCAAGAGAGTCGGCTCCCTCGGAGTGCACCTGCCCTGCGAGATGTTCCCGGCACTCCAGCAGCTCTGTCACGTACACGCCGTACGTGAAGGCACTGGTGACTGTCGGCTCACCTGTGGCCCCACAGAAGGTGCATCGAGGGACGTCGACGTACTCGACACCGAAGACTTCGTGGCTCAAGCAGAGCGGATGGCAGCCGAAGCGACTGGCTTCTTCGATGAACTCGGCATGGACACACTGGGCACGAGGCGAAGCTGACGGGGCAAGGCTGCTGCTCAAGCTGCAAGCGTGCAAGATGCCCAAAATAACTTCGATAGTCTCTGTCGCATCCTCCATGTCGCCCGATTGAAAACGTCCTTGCGCATTGTACGCGAGTGAGAGCGCCTTGCGCAGAGCATCTGGTGGAAGCACATCCCTGTCAGAGACAGCAAACTCGTGAAACAAGCTCTTCAGGGCACAGTAGCAGCAGTGATCATTCCCAGCTGGACGTGCCAACGCGCCGTAGCTCGAGGCTGCGTGTGAGTGCGTGTGACATGGGGCCTGAAGCAAGCGCTTTCTGAAGGACTGGAGATTCCACAACGCCTGAATGACAACATTTAAGAAGCAATGGTTGGCTCCGCTTTGGTTCTCCAAACCACGAGCCCGATAAGTCGGCCTCAAGCCATGATGTAAAGCATCCACGGGCTGAGCGACGGAGGGCATCCTATCGAATTCACGAAGCAATCGTTTATTTACACAGGGCCAGAACTTTCGTGGGCGTGATGCCCATTCTCTAAGCTAGAAGCTAGGCGACCGGCCTGTTACCGGCTGCCTCGAAACTTGGAAACTGCAACGCATGCACCAAACCCTTGGAACTCGGAACTCTGTTCCTACCGAAAGCTGCGGTGATCTTCGGTGTGCAATAGCTGCTGCCCAAGTCACGTGGACGCGCATGCCCTGGGAGCAGGAGCACTGCTTGTTCGGTGACACTTGTCACACCACCCCTTCCACGCATATACCCGCAGGTTCATACACATGCGACAGAGCAGATCCCAGAGTTTCAGAGTGTGTGTCGGAGTCTGTATAAATTCCAAGTGCTTGTGTACTTGTGCACGTGCGCGGTTTGAAGGTGGCCGGTCTCTGGCACACTATGAATACCCGTTTGCATGTGTATATGTGTACATATATATATATATATGTGTGTGTGTGTGTCTTGGGGGGCCTGCATGAGGATCTATACTCTGTGCACATTGCACGCACAGGGAGTCGCGAGAGTTGCATCACCTCAGAATCCTACAGGACTTGGCGTGACACCTGGCAACTGGAAATATACGGGTGCGTGTGTATGTGCATACACACACATGCCTCAGACGAACAGATAGGTAGATGGAAAGGCAGACAGACCGACAGGCCGCCAGACGCACAGACAGATAGACAGATAGGTAGATAGGTAGAAAAGTAGCTAGGTAGCCAGGTAGACACGTAGATAGAGAGAGTTACAGAGAGAGAGAGAGAGAGAGAGAGAGAGAGAGAGAGACAGAGAGATAGATATGGAGAGAGGGAGAAATAGATAGATTGATTGATAGAGACATGGACGGATCGATGGCTGGCTGGCTGGCTGGCTGGCTGGCTAGCTGGATGGCTGAATGGCTGGGTGGCTGGATGACGGGCTGGATGGTTGGATGGCTGGCTGGGATGGCTGAGTGGTGGCTGGATGGCGGCTGGATGGTGGCTGGATGGTGGCTGGATGGCTGGAACGTTGGATGGCTGGCTGGCTGGATGGCTG